CTGCTCCAACCTCTGTTAAAAATGAGGATGTTTAGACGAAAAGGAAGGAGAAGACAGAGAAGAGAAAAAAGATACAGTGGCAATGACAAAGGAGAAGAAATGGTGGGATTACAGGTTGTGTTACAAGCAATGCGACCGAGGTAATTCAGATAAGGAGTCGCCCCCTCCCCGTTCATCTGCGATTAGCAGATAGTGCTTCCATTAACAGGACTTCCCATGTATATACAGAAAAAGCAAAGATGCATCATTTCCAGACTTAAGCCTTGAAATAACCCTGCTCCTAAAAGAGCAGAAAACATTCCATACCTACTGGAAAATTAGGAGAAGGGTACGGGATGTTTGCTTTGACAACAGAGATGTCTCAGCTTTCTACATGTTTGTCCTCTTTTCAATCTCAAGAAAGTGGCTGGACATGGTGGCTCCTCCCAGCACTTGACGTCAGGAATTCGAGACCAGCCTGGTCAACCCCCATCTCTACTAAAAATACAGACATTAGCTGGACATGTGGTGCATGCCTATGATCCCAACTACTCGGGAAGCTGAGGCAGGAGAATAGCTTAAAACCAGAGACAGGTCGCCATGAGCCGATATGGTGCCACTGCACTCCAGCCTAGGCGACAAAGTGAGATTCCATCACAAAAAATAAAATAAATCTCCAGAAAGAGGGATTCTAAAAAAGTCTTCACTGCTGTGCCAAACTTCCCATTTTGCAAGTTTCAAATATTCAGAAAACAGAAAAAAAATGACTACTGGACGACGTGTCATTTATTTATTTATGCATTCATTCATTTATTGAGATGGGGTCTCACTCTGTTGCCCAGGTGTTTTGTTACTAAGAACAGGAATGATACCGAGCTCGGATTTGTAATTTGGAGGCAGGTTCGCGAGAAGAAAACACCAAGCCGAGAATAATAAGGTAAAAGAAGAGAATTTTATTTACAGAAGGTTATAGGTAAAGGAAGAGGATTTTATTTACAAAAGGTTATAGGTAAAAGAAGAGGATTTTATTTACAAAAGGGACATACCCAGAGACCGTCCGTCCGGACACTCAGCACCGGCGTTACAGCAGCACGGGCAAGGCGCGAGTTACAGCTCTCTGCAATCTTTCTCTTCCTCTCTTTTTCCCTCTTTCCGTTTTTCTCTGGTTTTTGTCTATATTTTATATGTTACAGTTCAACTTAGGTTATAGCAAACACCAGCTGCTCTTTGTCTTGTCTCTCACGAACATTATCATTATGTAACAGCAATCCTTGGCTTTGTTTATGGTTCTCGAAGAGACGGGAATTGGCCAGATTCCCGGCTCCTCGGACATAAGCCAGGGTCATCATGAGCTCCTAATGCCCCGGGCTTACTGCCAAAGAAATGATAACTTTAGTTCCCAAGGTCCAAGAAACTTAGAGCAAACACTGGGCATGACTTTTTTTAATATTAACCCTACACCAGGCTGGAGTGTAGTGGCTCAGTCTCAGCTCACTGCAACCTCCACCTCCCAGGTTCAAGTGATTTTCCTGCCTCAGCCTCCCAAGTAGCTGGGATTTTAGGTGCCTGTCACCACATCCAGCGGATTTTTGTATCTTTAGTAGAGACAGGGTTTCACCATGTTGGCCAGAATGGTCTCAAACTCCTGACCTCAAGTGATCCACCCACGTCAGCCTCCCAAAGTGCTGGAATTACAGGCATGAGCCACCGCACCTGGCCCACATCTGGCATTTGTAAATGTCTTTATCTTATTTCTTAGGAGCTCCTTGGATCCCAAGTATTCATTGTAAGGCCACAGTTGACTTTGCAGGCTCAGTTTTGACTCTCAACACGGTTCCAGGGAGCCCAGGTGAAGCCCTCAGCCTACGGTTTTATCATGCAGTACAAGGCATTTGTAGGAACAGAAAGTTGAGCTGAATTAGAAGAAGAAAGTTTACAGAGGGTGGAGAGCCCATCTGTTTGTTTCTTAGAGCCTTTTCTTAGTAATTCTGGGCCAGAGCCATCAACAACTCTTATAGAAAAATCACCTGAATAACTTATGAAGATTTCACTGACTTTACATGGAAATAGTCCCTTCTTAGGTAATGATATGAAAGGCAGAAAAAGACCGCAACTTCTTCCAAGGAAAATAGGCAGTAAGAGGTGGGATACACATTTTTGGTGTTGATAACTGAAAGTTGTTATGGAGCATTACAAAGTTTTTATAAAATTAGGTTGAATTCCTCCAACTCTTTCTTTTCCTTTTTTTTTTTTTTTTTTT